ATTGCTCACAAGCACCGGAGTTTATTTCAACAAAAAAAGAAGCATCGACATTTAGCACTAGATGCCCAGCTAGGGCTGAAGTCAAGACCTTTCCTGCAGCACATGCGTAGTTTAGGGTGAGTGCCATGATCTCGGGAACTGTTCTCTTTAGCATTTGCACCTTCTCTCCTTTGAAAAACTCTCTCCGTTGCCACCACAAATACCAACATGTTATAACTATTAATTCCGGTAGTTCGACCTGGCCCATATATGGTTTCTCATGAGCACCATCGCAAAAGTAGGAAATCAATAACAGCCGCACCTGATCGATCCACCTCAGCAGCCAACTGAATCTATGTGCTTATTCCAAGAGCCTCCCAAATCCAACTTGACGGACCCACCCGATTGAAGAAAGTAACCTATTCTAATGTTGAGTTCCTGGAGAATCCACTTGATGGGTCGGAGTCGAAGACAAACGTGCTACCACAATCTCTAGCATGCCCACAGATCAACGTGATTAGTTGTTAGGCTCTACAACAACATCATGTCTATCAATGATGCCGAGTGTTTAGAGTAAGTATAATTTACAAGTATATAATGTGCCAGTATACATTATTATGATTCTTACCATCCATTTTTCAGGAAGGAATGGGTGCAAAGCTCGATACCTCATGCAATGGGTTTATGTCCCAAAAAACTTATGGGCATACTTAACATGGAGCAAGCTATGGATAAAGCATCACCGTGTGTATACTAGCATGTGACGAGGGATTATTGTTCATAGACCCTCCTGTAAACGTCATGGATCTATAATTTTGTATGAGTTATCATAATTAGGCATTCAAAATCATTAGTATCAACATGTTTCTAAATTGTTTTTCTTAGTCTGCCCATGTTGTTAGATTCAACACGAGATCAATAGTTCTGTGTGAACCCTTTGATTTTTGGCATGTGATAGACAACAACATCTCATCGTGCAACTTCATAAGTAAGATCTTTTGTCCATTGTTGTCATGGTTTATTGTTTCTAATAGCTACCACTTGTAGATTTATATTTGAGATGCATTCATTGGCCAATAAATCTTGTACATCAACCACAAACATGGATGTCGTGTATATATTCTGGACCCTATCCACACATCATAGTAGCCAGAGGTTAAAACTCTAAGACATTTAGTGGAATTACAAAGATTTGCGAGGGAATTCAATGTCACACTCGAAATAAAGCAACCCGGCTGGAATTCCGATATATCTAGATGGCAACAGTTATTTCCGCCTGGTATTCAACAAGCACGGACTGGTAAATTTATACATCTCATTATCATAACATTCAAAATACAAGCATTTATTTTAGGTACCACTGCATTCAAGATTAATATTAATTTAGGAAATTGTAGGGATGTGTCTGGTTATTTTGTTTTTTATTTTATACTCTGGTGGAACGGTAAATGATTGGTCTGTCCGGTTTGCATTGCGAGTATTCTCTGTTACACATTTTAAGACATTCGATGTGAAGTATTCGTGCCAACTACATATTCTTCTGCGGGATGGGTGTGAGATGAGAAAGAAATTTTTATTATACTTTTGCAAATATCATGTGAATGAAACTAAACATAACATTCTTGATATTGTGCAAGAATTTCTTAAGCGCATCAAGTAGATCTTAATTTGTAACAAACTTTTAGTTGGATCATCACTCTATGTATACATTGTCAAATTGTCCTTTTTATTAATTTGCATTGCAAGTGTAGTGGACTTTAAGTATTACAAGATGTTGCATGTGCTTTTTTTCTTTACATGTGAAATTTAACATGTATTATATTTATATAACTCCATTAAAATATTTCAATAGCCCATAGCAACGCACGGGCATTCTACTAGTATTGTCAACGAGTCACACACAGCCAGCGGCCGGCACCGGAGTACTCAGACATCATCGATGGGGTTAAATCGGCTCGCCATCGATCGCGGGCTTCGTGAGGCCGTGGGCTGGGAGGTCCTATTCAGTGCTTGTTGCGCCATCGATCGTGTGCTTCGCACATGGACGACGGAGCGAGCCACACAAATTGGGCCGGTCCACTAGCTAGCTTTATCAATGTATGGTATTCTTTCGATTTGGGGAATCTTCTAGAACGTTTTGAACCATTTTTCTTTTGTTGTTTTTTTTTTGAAAAGGAAGAATACCCCGGCCTCTGCATCCATCGATGCATGCAGTCATATTATTAAATAAAACAGTAACAAGATCATAAGGTCCAATGATGCTCATAAACTGAGTAGTAGTCGAAAGTAAATAAATCTGAAAAGCGCCACACTCGACGATATAAGACTAAAAAAATGCCACATCCGGCAATATAAAAATAATCTATGGTGCCTACACACCTAGCCTATTATTAAGTCGCCACCCAAATCGGTTCAAGATAGCCCGTGCTACCATCTCCCAACGGTTGCATCCAATAACCAAAGGCTCCCTGAAGTCCGCATGAGTGAGTAAGGACCACATACAGATCCAAGTTGTAGCTCTGTAGATAACCTGCAAAAAATTGGTGAACTGTGTCCCATTAAAAATCATATCATTTCTAGTGTTTCATATAGCCCAAAATAAAGCACATACTCCTATCCGAATATGTTTAGCTAAGTGTACATCCACTCCATTAAGCCACGTCCCAAATAACGTGTTTATGCTCCTTGAAGATTCAACGTTAAAGGCTATATGAATTGATCATCATAATAATTGGCTATATGAATTGATCATCATAATAATTGTGCAAGAGGATATTCGAGAAAGAGGTGTTTAATCGTTTATTTTTTATCACAGAAACAACACCTAGAGTTACCAACCCAATTCCTTTTTGACAGGTTATCTTTGGTTAGAATAACCTCTTTATGGACAAACCACATAAATATTTTAATACAAAGCGAAACTTTAATCTTTCAAATATGCAACGACCTCGACAATGGCCCATAGTCAATTAGGTCCGAGTACATGTATTTCACTGTGAAGATTCCATTCGTGGTTAACTTCCAGCGAATTGTATCCGCCTGGTCAGATAGGTGAACCTCCATCAACCTACGAACCAGGTGCAACCAAGCATTCCAATGTTCCCGTACTAGGGATCTCCTAAATTGGATATTAAGCGGTATCGAATTTAATACTATGATAACATAATCCTCCTTACGTTGCACAATATTATATAAGGATGGATATTGTAAAGCCAAAGGCGTCCCCCTAACCATGTATCCTTCCAAAATCGAGTAGTATTATCATTACCAACTAGGAATTTCATTCATTGGAAGAAACTTGTTTTCGTCCTCATTAATCCTTTCCAGAATGGTGAGTCTGTTGGCCTAGCGGTGACTAGGGCCAAAGTTTTAGAGTGTAAGCATTTATTCCACACAATTTGTATCCACATGCCGTCGATCTCAGTAGATATTTTGTATAGCCAGTTGCTAAGCAGACAGTATCTTTTACTGGTTAATTTTATTTTACTTTTATGTTTTCTATTTCTTTTTTAGTTTTCATAAATTCACCATTTTTAAGAATTTCAAAATCTTCAAATTTGCTTCAGAATTTTAAAACCCACTTTTTAAAAAAGGTCATGAATTCCAATGCTTTCATTCACGTTTTTCAAACAAAAATGTTTGGAATTTTAAAAAAGTTCTTCACTATTCAATAATGTTCAAAATCTATTTACAATTTCGAATTTGTTTGAATATTTTTAATGGTATTCAAAATTTTACAAAAAAATCTTGATTTAAAACAATAATAATATTTGGGTCCAAAATTTTCTAACATAGTTGGGTGATCATCATCCAAAAGCAGTCTTTTTCTTATGGTGTGACATTCTTGATGTAACAGACCTATATGCTAATCTTGCTTACATGTTAGGACAAAGGAACAAAGCATATTAAAATTGACTACCACCTTGTTCGAGAATGGGTGGTCAATAAGTTTCTAAATGTTCATTTAAGTAGCAGATGGATTTACTAAACCAGTGCGGCATATAGAGGCTTTTCAGCGCAGTCTCAACTTAGATAGTTTAACACAGTAGAGAAGCAAACGCTGATACATATGCACATACACTCATCCATATGTGCTTAAAACATAGCTAGTTGTGATTAAGGAGGAGTGCCAAACAATACTATGTATATATGGCAATTACAAGAGACCAGCAAATCAAGTTATGGATTGTCCTGTTGCTAAAGTACTTTGAGAACGATTGCATGTATGTTTGGCACTGATTTGTGTCCAAACAACATGTGGCCGGCTTATTCATGGTGTTATACATTCTTCTCAGAGGGGGAGACTTTCTACACAGTTGGTATTGCTGCGGGTGTTATACATTCTTCTCACAGGGGGAGACTTTCTACACAGTTGGTATTGCTGTGCTTTGCTGGGCTATTTGGACTTGCCACAATAGTGCTACATTTGAGCTTAGACGTCTCAAAACTCCTTTTGAATGTAGTTTCTCTATTTGTGGGCAGGTTTGCTGAAGCAGGAGGATGCAGTGGATCTGCGAGCCGGGATGGACATGCTGAAGAACAGCGGTCGAGGATGATGCACATTTGTGCTACAAGCCAAAGCGAGGAGGCTCCCTGAAGAGGAGATGACAGAAGAAAAAGCCTGTGTTCATCCATGGGTCTCTCTTCAGCATTGCTTTCTTACCCTGCGTTCACCAATGTGGGTTGGTAGCCCTGTTTATGGGCCGTGACTCTATTCCATTAACAGACTTAGTAGTGTCGTCGGGTTTTCGCCCTGCGGTGCGAGTGCTTACAGTAGGTTTCTCGGCAATGCTTGAACTCGCTCTTTTCTTTCCTGTCTCATTCTGTGGACCTGTTGTATTTTCGTTATGTCGCAGTAATGGAAGGGGTTATGCCCTGTTCAAGTTATGGATTGTCGGTTTCAGTAAACACTTTATATTCTCTGATGTATGAACATACAAAGAAGCTTGTTTATCCTACTATACGGAGTATGAGTCACCGCTATCGATTAAACTCTAATGACAACTGACAAGGCATCCTGGCTATTCATCACGGAACTCCACCACGGACAGCACCACAGGCGCGACCACAGTTTGCTCCCTCATGGCATCCAACCACTCCGGCTTCCCCTCCACCCACTTCTTGAGGAACGCCACCATGGCGCCGGCGACGAATCGCCTCATGGGCGCCCTGGCCCCGCCGCTCTTGCAGAGGGCGCGCGTGGCCAGCCCCTTGGCGCCCGTCGTCACGTCGTCCATCATGTCGGTGTGCCCGTAGTCCCTCGCCACGAGGTGGCACGCCGGCGCCGAGCACTCGTCGTAGAACTCCGCGTGGCTCACGCCCAGAGGTGCGCACGGCGGGAACAGGGCGTTGCGAGGCAGCTCGCCGAGGCCCGTGCCGATGACCATGACCGGCGCCGGGACCCGCAGCGTGTTCGGCTTGTAGACCAGGATTGGCGGAGGCGTCTGGTTGCCCATGCCGGTGCCGTCCACGGGGTCGACGGCGATGAGTGCCGCGAGAGGCAGGGAGGTCTTGGCGTGGCCCAGCCCGAGCGCGAAGGCCACCTTGCCACCGCGGCTGTGGCCGGAGATGGACACCTGATAGATGATGCGATTGTTAGTACCTCGAGCTCGAATTATTGTTCTGTTAATTAGAGAGCAACGAGGGTATTTGGTAACTGACCGCAGTTAGGTTCGGTCGAATACCGGGTGCGAGCGTGGAAGAGAGGCCGGCGGCGAGCCAGTCGATAACGGCGGCCGCCAAGTTTATCTCGCCGGTGGTGTCGGGTCCGGACACCGTGTACAGCTGCAATTGTACTCGAGTTTAGTCAGTGTTCATCTCTGGAGAAGAAGTTCAGTGCCACGCCGACATTAGCTTGATGACCTTGTTAATATAATACAGTACCTGAGGAGCGATGACGATGAAGCCATGGGAGGCGACATGCTGGAGCAGCTGGGAGTAGAAGTAGTTGTTGCAGAGGTAGCCGTGCAAGAATAGCACCACCGGGTACTCCCCTGCGTCGCACGGGGCGGCCACCAGCAGCGGCTTCGGAGGAGACTGCTGCGCGTCGACGCGACTGGTCGCACAGCAGCTCGTGGCCTGCTCGACTTTGGCAAGGCTGGTGCCATGGCGTCCATGGTCGAACACGTCGCCTGCCGACGCCATGGTGTGAAGCGGAGCGACAGGCTAGTACTATGCTGATACCACGCGCCTTGCAGAGGAGGTCATGTATGTTAACCTTGTGGTAGTTACGGGTGCGTGTGGCCGCTTAACGGCCGTCTGTTCTGGGGACCCTTATCTTCGTAGTTCTCGTAGAAATATCTGATTTCGATGCATTAGTCTTCTTTTCACATTCTCTTGTACTTATAGGATCGAAGATTGGGACACTCCTTTGTTTCCATCTTCGATTAATCTTGCTAGTCATCAATCTACATGTGTAGCTGTACGGACTAGATATTTCTTTACATTTATACTACTAGCACATATGTCCGTGTTGCAACGGGATAGATTTTTTCTAGAAGCATCGGGAAAAATAATTGACGTGTCATCCAAAAATATATCTCTACAATGATAGGCGACAAAGCAAGGAGTTATGGTCTTCTCGCTGGATATGTTTGACACGGGAAATCTTGATAGTGGTGGGGTTGGTCGGCGTGGTGACAAGCACCCAACTTATGCCTTTTTTTCTTCGGGTCTGCCTCCATCTTAGGGTTGTGTCTGCCTCCTTATTTGGTGCCTGCGCGGCCACCTTCGGGTTGCTTGGACCACTCAATCCTACGACGGCGTAACCAGGCGGATTATTAATTGCAAACGCATAAATCCTATTTTCATTAGCATAATTAGGCATGAATGTCCCTTTTTTAGGGTTTTTTCTCTCTGATTATTTTAGTGCTCAAGAGCTCATAATTTTGCTTTAATTAAAGCCAAATAACATATTCTTTTTTATTCGCATGTGTCAACAATTTTTTCATTTATAGTCAACCAGCATAGAATGAACACGCACCGCTAACCAATGGCCAGTGTGAACATTTAAGAAAATACTATAGTGTCAGATTAGAAATATATTTTAAAAAAATTTGAACATTCAAAAAAAAATTATGAATTGGCGAATATTCTTGGACACATGAACAATTTTTAAAATCTCCAACAATTATCAAAAAAAGCGAACAATTGTTTTTTGAAAATTTCAATATTTTTAGAAAAGACCAACAAAATTAGAAACATCAATATTTTTTCAAATTCACAACAAATATTTTGAAAACAAGATTTTTTTTATAAAAATACAAATATTTTTTAATTTTTGATATTTTAAAGGGGAACATTCAAAGCAATTTTATGAAATGTTTTCTTAGACGAAAATATTATTTTGAATTTGTGATCATTTCACTAAAAGAAGAATATTTTAAAATATGTAACATTTTATAAAATGTAATGTTTAAAAAATGTCAAAGAATTTATGAAAAACACAAAATAGAAAATGACAAAAATTCGAAACAGGAATTTTTAAATGTTTCGAACATTTTTCAAATTTGGAACAAAAAAATTGAATTCTGACCACTTTTTGAATATTTGAACAAAAGTTGAAATTCTGAATATTTTTGTAAATTTTTACTTGAAAAAAAATAAAAATAGGAGGAAAAAAGTAAAAGGAAATGTAAAAGAGAAAGGAACAGAAAAAGAAAGAAAAATTGAAATAGAACATCAGAAAATGGGAAACTGGCCGCCCCAGTCTTACGCGCCCTCTGGGCAGCCTCTATCGCTCCATGCGACAAATAAGGTCTTCCCAACTGCATGGGCAATAATAAGTGGGCTTGCTTTTTTGGGCCGGAGCGTGCATGGCCCAATTAAGGAATTCTGGACAAACCTTTTTTTTCTTTTCTAGCCGATAGGTGAACAAAAGTTTAGTACCACCTCGGATAGAAAAAAAGTCTTTTTGACGATGAACAATGAAAAAATTAGAGAAACACACCTTGCTTTATTAGTAATAAGGTATATATTGTATATAAATAACAAATATACGATTATTTTCATGTAGGTAAAATTTGATGCAGAGTCCGGGGTTTCAACCCCCTTTTCAAAAAGCTACTGTAGGGATTAAAGTGTAATTATGAAGCATGCTAAACTTTAAATTTCAAATATTTCCCCATATAATTTATCTGTATATAGGTAAAAAATGTTAAATTGATTTATGCTTTATAAGTCCGGGGATTTTAAATATAGTTGAAGAAGGTTGAAATCATGATGACTACCCCTATTTTTTCAGAAATTTTAACTCGCGGACGTTCGCCAGGTGGGCGAACCTGGCGAACGCCCTCCCCACCGTCGCACGCATCTCAACTCACAGGCAACGCCACGTCGGATGGCTAGAGTAGTGATGAGTGAAATTTATGCGTACTTCCTAGACTATATTTCTGTGCAAAAATCCCTCACAACATATGCATCTATCACTTATTCATATCCTCAATGCATAATTTCCGGTATTTAGTAGTTTACCAAGTTTGTTGCATAAATTTATTTTTATTTACATTTTATTAGTTTTCCTATGTTTTGTGATCCTTGTAGGTATCCTGGCATATTTGTGGAGTTGGCACATTGTAAAGGATCAAGTTGGGGTTAAACGGGAGAAGTTTTAAGCACCAGACTTAGGCATTTCAAAGGCCAAGAATGTGATTTTTACAAAGTGCTCCAAATCAATATCTAAAACCAAAAGTGGACCAATGTCGTCCATACGAATCCAATGAGCCCAAGAATGTCAAATTCCGAGCTTGTATAAAGAAATGAAGGTCGTGTTACCGGAGGTGTCCAGAGCCAAACATGGTGGTGTTCCACACAAGCGTGGATGGACGTATGGACGCTCGTATGAGCTCCAAACTCCACCGAAAGGTGCCTTTCTCGACGGGATTCTTTATCAATTTCATCCATGTCTGTTCCTACGAGATCCTTGGCCAATAAGGAAGGGTTTGGGAGAATATTTAGCTCCTCTAGAGCTCTTGGATGAAGGTGGGGTATCTATATCAACGGAGGAGACCCGAGGAGGCCTCCTATAAAAAGAGCTCCAACCCTAGATCAACATCCTCAGTCCATCACAAGTCCAAGCAGCCACCGGGAGGCTCCCCCATCTCAAGTAGAGGGATGCCTCTCCCTCCATCACCATTGATGTCTACTACACAAATTTATTCTTGTAGACTCGTGTTGGGCCTCGAAGCGCAGAGTTTTGTAGGACAGTAGCATTTTTCTCTCAAGTGAATGACCTAAGGTTTATCAATCCGTGGGAGGCGTAGGATGAAGATGGTCTCTCTCAAACAACCCTACAACCTAATAATAAAAAGTCTCTTGTGTCCCCAACACATCAAATACAATGGTAAATTGTATAGGTGCACTAGTTCGGCGAAAAGATGGTGATATAAGTGTAGTAATGATAGTAGATATTGATTTTTGTAATAGAAACAATAAGAACAACAAGGTAGCAAGTAACAAAAGTGAGCACAAACAGTATCGCAATGCTTGAAAATGAGGCCTAGTGTACGTACTTTCGCTAGTGAAATCTCTCAACAATGCTAATCTAATTGGATCATATAACCATCCCTCAACATGTGATGAAGAATCACTTCAACGTTCTTATCTAGCGGAGAACATAAGAAGAAATCGTTTGTAGGGTACGAAACCACCTTAAAGTTATTCTTTCCGGTCGATATATTCAAGAGTTCGTACTACAATAACGCAAAGTTATTCTTTCCGTTTGATCTATCCAAGAGTCCATGCTAAAATAACACTATATGATACGCATAAACCAACTCTAATGTCACCTAGATACTCCAACATCACCACAAGTATCCATGAGTTAATTATACAATACGCACAAAACAATTTCAGATTCATAATACTTGATCCAACACAAAGAACCGTAAAGAGTGCCCCAAGATTTCTACCGGATAAACAAGGACAAAAACGTGCATCAACCCCTATGCATAGATTACCCCAATGTCACCTCAGAAATCCAGGAGTTGAGTGCCAAAACATATATCATGTGAATCAATATAATACCCCATTGTCACCACGGGTATTCAATCCATAAAAATATTCAATCCGATAAAACAAAATCTCAAAGGGAAAATTCAATTCATCACAACAAGATGGAGAGGAAGAAACATCATATGATCCAACTATATTAACAAAGCCCGCGATACATCAAGACCGTGCCATCAAGAACACGAGAGAGAGAGAGAGAGATTAAACACATATCTACTGGTTTAAACCCTAAGCCCCGAGGATGGACTACTCCCTCCTCATCATGGTGGCCGCCAGGATGATGAAGATGGCCATCAGTGATGATTTCCCCCTCCGGCAGGGTGCCAGAACGGGGTCTAGATTGGTTTTTCGTGGCTATAGAGGCTTGTGACGACGGAACTTCTGATCTAGGGTTATTTCTGATGGTTTCTCTATTTATAGGATTTTCGGCATTAGAATAACGCGAAGATGGGCCTCGAGGTGAGCACAACCCATCTGGGCGCGCCCGGGCCTCCTAGCGCGCCCATGTGTCTTGTGCCCTCCTCGTGGCTCTTCTGGCCCTCCCATGAAGCTTCTAGTGCCTCTTTTGTTCCAAAAAAAATCGTCAAAAGTTTCGTTGCATTTGGAGAACTTTTATTTCTGCACAAAAAACAACATCATGGTAGTTCTGCTGAAAACAGTGTTAGTCCGGGTTAGTTCCATCCAAATCATACCAAAAACATATAAAATTGTTGTAAACATGGCATGAATTCTTTATAAATTATAGATATGTTGGAGACGTTGAAGGAAATATGCCCTAGAGACAATAATAAAGTTATTATTCATTTCCTCATATCATGATAAATGTTTACTATTCATGCTAGAATTGTATTAACCGGAAACATGATACATGTGTGAATACATAGACAAACTTAATGTCACTAGTATGCCTCTACTTGACTAGCTCATTAATCAAAGATGGTTATGTTTCCTAACCATAGACATGTGTTGTCATTTGATTAAAGAGATCACATCATTACGAGAATGATGTGATGGACTTGACCCATTCCGTTAGCCTAGCACTTGATCATTTAGTATGTTGCTATTGCTTTCTTCATGACTTATACAAAGTTCCTACAAACTATGAGATTATGCAACTCCCGTTTATCGGAGGAACA